TTAAAAAGTCTTTTGTTATTCCTTTGTATGAAATAATCTTGTTGAGAAAATGCTGTTTCCATGTGCTAGGCAACAGATTTCATTTCATCTTTGCTATGTGTTTTTCCAACCCTTGGCTGGTACTGCAGATAATGCTCTTCACAGCCAGACTTCCACAAGCACTGGATAAACTATCTTGAAAACACCTGCACGTGTTAAAACCAGTGTTGTGATTAAAAATAAGACATGGTGCAAGGTAGTTTCTTTACCTTTCAACTTTTTCAGAACAAAAATCCACAAATTAATATCACTGACAACTGAGCATTTAGTTTCCACCTGCTTGGAAGATAATCTTCTATACAGAACACAAAATCATAATTTAAGACTTCAGTGAGTTCTTCCCCTCATGCATTCTCCTAATTTGCAGACAAACTCCTGAAGATCCTTTCAGTGCACTTGAATAAGTCTGTATCAGAGGCAATCTCCAAAAGCTTGAGGAGAATGTCACTTGGTTGGCTTTCATTTGCTGTAAACCGTGGTCAGTACTCCCTGTCATAATCCTCTAAAAATAAAGATATTATAGCAACAAAGTGATGACAGGCATCAGCACACAGCAGAGAGTAACTTGGGGGTTCTTTGCTTCAAATGCTATGTTGGACTCTTGTCTTTAATACATTAAACTCTATCACATTAAACAGATACACTTTTGAACTATTTCCTTTGGATGTATGACATTTAGATCTAAAATTATTTTTATCCTTCCTTTCTGAAGAGGATTGGGTCATTCTTCATCCTGATCTTACCATAAGAAGTGTTAAAATATATTTTTTTTAAGTTAAATATATTGTTTTATTAAAATTCTCTATCTAAAAAACATTATGGTTTGAGGTCCTAATTCAGGAAAAGATTTCCTCTTCTAGGGAGTACAAATGGTCACTAAACTGGAGCTGAACTTTAATCTGGTTTTGAGAACATTTCTGAACCAAGAGCTAAAAAAATTCACACATAATTAATCTTGTACTGAAAACAGAAGATGATGCTTTATTAATAGAAAAGGGAATAAATCCGGAAAAAAAAATCCTGAAGCTTGGCATTCAAAATGGCTTTTTGAGCAGAGAAAAAGGAAAGAACAGTTTGTTTGTAGGGAGAGGAAAAAAAAGAAATCACAAGGATTTCATCACATGAGGAAAGAGAGGAAATGATCTCATCTACTTCTCATTTGCTCTTCTGTGGCAAATTATGCTTAGCAAGAGCACTGGGAGAACATGTCCATGATGTCTGAGCAAAAAATCACTAATATCTGGAATAAAGCTTATTTTTGTTTCATGTGGAGTCCAGGGACAAGTTGCAACATTCTGCTGAGGGATGTGATACCAAGTTAACATCAAAGTTTCCCAATGGTAAAATAATTTCTTAGGACCTTAATTCTCACTCTTCTGAAAATTTACTGCCCCATTCTTTACCATTAAACAAAAACAGAGTGTCTAATCTCCCTTTTCTTATCAAAACTATAAATCAGATTTTGGTAGTTGTAAATTATACCATCAGATGAGTGAGAAAAGTTTAAAATACCATTTTAACACAGTCCTTATTGAAAGCAACAGTGAAATAATCTTTCCTCTTGAAATCTCAACCAGCTTAGATATGCTGTCATCATCACATTCATTGCTCACACCTTGACAATCTTCAAAGAAAAATCAAAAAGATACAGCCCTGCAAAACCGTCCCCTCTTTGCGTACAATAGCTACAATGGTTTCCCTGGTGCTGTCCTCACACTGTCCCAGAAGAATCAGGATGGCCTGACATCCAGCAAGGATGTCTGAGCTCATTTCCCAAATTAGTTTCTATTTCTGATCTGCTGCCTTGCACAACGAGACTTTTTCAGTGACACTGACCAAATTACGGTGAGCTACAGACAGAAAGACCATGCACACTGCAGCTGAGCCATGGAAGCTTTGGCAAAGCCAGAAACCTCGGAGAATTGATGAAAAGCAGTGTGGAGAGTGATGGAGTACGACAGCAAAGAACACACAGAAAGGACCACTAGGATCAGCACCACCCTGTGTCCCAACTGGAAACACCAGCCAGCCCCAGGGTTTGTGTTCTGCTGGGAGGGAGAAGGAGGGAGCCTGAAGTCCAGAAATCAGTGTACAACACCTCCAATTCCTTAGCAAAAGGATTTTCTCCATAATATTTTCATAGAGCTATACCAAAACAGCTGCTATGCCACATGAAATGGTTTTTGTCCTTGTATTAAGTGTAATTTAAATGATCCATTCAATTATTACTTTTGTATTCAAAGATGGCTTATTTTCATGCAGATTTATGTTTCATTATGCATGGAGGATATTCTTAATTGTGCTGAAACAACTGCAAATTTAATTAAAGTTTGCCATTCCAAGCATAAAATAGATTAAAGAAAATGCTGACAACAGTAAAATAAATATTCGACTATTTAATTTAACTCAACATTTATTTTTAATCCAAACATCAAAATAACCTTGTTTCTAATTACAATTTCATGACAAAATGTCTTGAAGAAGTATTTGTCTCTATTTCCCTCCAATCTGCTCAGCTGAAACACACTAGTTTATTTGTAAAACTGTTGATTAATAAATCTGTTCCAGCTGTATTACTGTATGTTACGAAGAACACAGATTGATGTATGTAAACAACCATTATAATTTTAAAAACCCAAAGTCTTAACAGTCTTCAAAAGCAGAAATCTCATCAAATACATTGCAGGACAATTATACACCTAAATCTTAACAAAGAAGGAAAAATAAGGAGCAAATATAGCTAGTAAGGTCCAGAGATCTGTGGCAATTCATAGCAGATGGAGAGATATTATATGTTACTTGTGGTTCCTAAAACTGGTATTATTAGACTCAACCATGTGCTGTAATTTTGACAATAGGCAAATTCCCAGTTTCATAAAAAGTTACACTTAAAATCTGCTCTGGCTCTACTGAAACTAATTGGAAACTCTCCAATTAAATTATGCTGCTTAGTATTGATTTTATAGTCAATAAATTTAATAATTTATAGTTATCATCTGTGGGGGAAAAGAAAGGTAGACAGGCAAATTTCCTCTCATCCAGATGCAGTAAGTCTGGCTGACTGAGGAAAAGAAATAATTCCTAAACCGCAAGAATTATTAACACTAACTTAACCCTTGATGTGATTCAGAAGAATTAGTTAAGAAGAAATATACAGGCTTTCCAAGGCATTGCATACCTTTTCTCCAAGAGAGCTGGAAGAAACAAAAGTGCTTTACCAGTCTAACAAATATCCCAAGAGTCAGAAAATTTGGAGAAAAAAACAAAGAAAAAAACAACTTCCCGCAGTTATTCACAATAAGATTTTTTTGCCATGTCTGGATAAATTGTCTGACACAATTTTTGGTGCTTCTTCCTTCCACCTTAAGCAACAGATTCAGGAGCTAAGGCATTATTTACATCTGAGTGACAACATCCAGCTATTAGGAGTTTTAGGACCACCACCAGCACTTGTAGAAGACACGACAATCACAGTATGTTTCTGGTTTGAAAGCCATGAGCTCAGCTGGAGCAGTCTAAGCAACACAAACCTCATCCAAAACCACCCAGGATTACCACCACAAACTGCTTGCCAACCCCTGCTCATTTCTTATTTTAATTACTTGTCAAAACAGTTGAGCAAAGAAAACCTTGAGACAGAAAATATAAATGCTGCAAACCTCTTTCCTTTATGTAACTTCACTGTGAAAGGACAGAAAAGTTTCTTTTTGCAACAAAACCAAGACTGAAATACAGAAAGAGGATTCTACTGCAAACTGATAGAATCAGCACACACCGAGAGCTCTCTGCATGTCAATGGACCATCATGGAGCAGGGGTTCATCCCTGGTGTTAACAAATTCAGATATAATAAAGTGTGACAGATACTTTCACGTTTTCCTTATTTATCTATATCAGCTATATATGTTAGTACCAAGAAAATCTTAAACAAATCAAAAAAACCCATCCAAAATCAAAAATTCATTAGAAGAAATGGGGAATTTAAGTCAGTACGAGGGGTTATTAAACTCTTTCACAAAATAAGAAGCAAACAAGAAAGGAAGAAGCAAGGAGCAAGTGTTTTTCAGACAGGAATAAAACATGAACCCTTCACCAAAAACACAGTGAACTGAACAACAGCTCTCTCAAGATATATATTGATATATGCATATAGTAAGGAGAGCTTGATCTGGAATCCAGCAGAACTGGTAGATGAAAACCCTATTTGGATGAAATGCCAAGTTAACAAATCACTTTATATCAACACTGTTAGAACAAACAAAACAACCCAAAGTTGTTCAAATAACCATTGAGTTCATCAATCCAAAACTATTCTTTCATGACGAGTAGTTCATATTTTAGTAGCATTTTTTATACAAGCACCAATATACACAGAGGAAATTCATAAAACTTTTTTTTGCTATCCTTTCAGTGTTTCGAGATTTATTTTAGAAAACTCTACATGGTATTATTGATCAAAACTATTTTTGACAATGTAATAGCCTACAAAATCTCTAAATACTTTAAGAAACAAAGAATACACTGCATTATACAGGCTTCCAGACTATCACACTTCAGACTCCTGAAGACAACAATAAAAATTCCATGACATGATTCAACCTAGACATTTTTTTTTTAATGTGTAGTCCATAAATGATCAGTGTAGCTGTTTAAAACAGAAGGAATATCAAAATATAGGATTTCACATGAACAGGTAGTAAGAGAGCAGTTTAAGGGTTAGAAAACTGCTGCCAAAACCAGCATGGCACTTCAGAGGAGCCACAGCCAATTACCTTCCTGAGAACCAGGCAATACCTCCACACACTTCTAAATACAGCCATCATGGAATCAGAAGGTTTTGTAAAGAGAAATCAAGAATACAAGTCATATTGTATCATATGGAATTGCAAATGAAACATACACAGCAATGAGGTTTTGGGAGTTTTGATTTAGAAGCACTTTAATTACAAAGGGTTGGCTTACCTGTTTAACATCATATGCAAGAAGAACAAATTTTAAGTCTGGTGAAACAGAGTATCTTGATGCTTTGAAGGTTACCTGCAATGAAGTAACAGTAAAAGTGAGTTTGCAATAGGAAATTAATAAGATCCCTTTTCCCAAATTTTCCTACATCTCATTTAAGAACTTCACATCCGTAAGACAGATTTGTTTTAGAAAACTGATGTAATTTTCACAAAAGAAGGACTCAATTTTTAATCTAGTTAGCTGGTATCAGTACAATGACAACAGAAGAATCTGGCTTCCACACTAAATACCAATTAAGAGGCTGATGAGTTTCTTGATCATCACTACAAGCACTAAGCTCAAGGATAACAACTATAACCAATTCATTCCCAGAGGAATGAACTCCAACTTTGGTTGGAGAGATTAAAAGGGAGATTCATCACTAGGTTAGCCTTAAAGGTAATATGCAAGACAAAGGATAGGTGTGCACTATGTCTCTACAGCTTTTCTTTTAACATCACATATACAAACATTTTGCAAAACAACTTGAACCAAAGCAAAAGTCTGTCTTAGAACAAAGGAAATTCCTAGCAGAGAGCCAAGTGAAACATAAGGTAGCATTATAAAATTAATAATTCTTTACATCCACTCAAGACTATTTGAAACCCAGTCTTGAATTCGAGATTATAATTCCATCAAGGAGTGATGCTGATGGCAGAAATAATTTAATTAATCTAATGCATGAGAAAGATAGGAAAGTGCTTTAAAAGGCACTGAGGGAAATAATTTTAAATTAATCTCAAGACATCTATTTGCAGAATGAAAGGAAAAGGAAGAAATGAAAAATGCAGATAAGAATAGAAGAAAGTAGGACCGAAAAAAATAACAGAACCACAAAGTCATAAAATGAAAACAAATAAAAAATAGCTATGTAGAACAGGACCTATCCACTATTTTATTTCTTAAGCATCTTGTTCTGCTTAGCCTAATCCTACTGCTAAACTAATGAATTCAACAGGGGTTTAAAGCAGGAAGCCACAAACTATTAGATTCAGAGTAGCTAAGGAGCTAAATCTGGGGAAAAAAAAAAAAGCCTCCAATAAACTGAAAAGATGCTATATTGTGATACATAGATTAAACTCAGGTTCCTAGGTAATATAGTTAGAATCAAGCTATCCAAAAGAATTAAAGGGAAACATATTTTTGAAGATAAACTGTTTGATTCAGCAGCATAACAGAATTAAAAGTCAGAAGAAAAATCCACAGTCTTGAGAAAGAAGGAAGGAAAAAGAAAAAAAAAAGACAACACACCTTAAACCATTCCTCTGTATCTATAAAGCATCCAGAATAGATTTCTCCTGTGCCCAAATTTGCTTTTATGAGTTAATCATCTTTAAGCAGAGACTGAGTTAACGTTAATCTATGAGTAACATTCCCTTTTCCTGGCACTTCACTAAAAATATTTTCAGATGTGAAATTTGTTTGCTTTCTAGCAGTTTATTAATTATTGCCCCACTACCTCAGTGTTCAGCATGATATAACCCAGGCAACTTTCCAAATTCATTCCCAGGGAGTGCAGCTCCTACCATTTCACATATTTAACAAAAATCTGCAGTCACAGATTATGCCACCACAAAGGTAATGAAGCTCTTCCTGCAAACACCTGAGCAGCTCAGCTACAAGCTATTGGCAGTTACCAGCAAGAACTACTTGCATGTTCAAACAGAGTGTTGTGGATTTGGGATTTAAAGTCTTTTGAATCCCACTGACCTCGTTTATTCAGCTTGCACTCACCTGCAAAATTGTGTTTGCCTGCAGACACACTGTACATTCAATGCCAAAAACTGTGTGGTAATGGGTTTGGGCAAAATGGTTTTCTTTTTGTTATGTCTGTTTTGGCATAGGACTTACACACTATGTGTGTAATGGCATAATTCTTGGTAAAAGGAGTACAAAGCTTTTTCATACTTTTGAATGCTTCACCTCAGGAATAAGAAACTGAAAATTAGACCAGCAGAAATCATGTGCTCATTGCCAAAGCTGATAGCAATGCTGATTTCTTTAAATTATCATGAAAACATAATTAGCCCATTTATTTAAGTTCGATTTACAATCAAGCCTTTAATGAAATAGGTGTTTAATTCTAGTAGAAACACAGAGAGATTTAAGTGACTTAAAGTGATTACAATTTCCTTAAAATTCTGGTTTTGGAAGGTTTTTTTTGGTAAAGACAAGCACAATTTTGGCAATTAATTCAGAAACTGCCTACTCATATGCACAGAGAAAGCCCTTATACATTAAGAACAGGAAATTAAATCACGTGACTCATTCCTCCTGCCTTACATGGCAAGTAAACTCATGATCTGTGAGTCACTAAAACAAAAGACAAAATTCTCTTTTTCCCCCTACAACCATGTCTAAGGGATTTCATCAACCAACAGCTGCCTGACTCCATGGCTGAGGAGATTAGGTCAGCTGGTGAAGGGCTTAAAAGGAAGTTTCAGTCCCTGCTGTAGGAGAAGAGATGTATGCCCCACAAACTTCTGGGAGATTATCTATGGGGTCATTCCCTACAGGGGATTAGATATATTTATTCATTAAAAAGAAGTTTGTGAGGACTCTGACCCCAAGGGTTTATTCTCTTCTCAGGAGAACACATTTTTGAGTTTAAAGTGTTGGGGAAACACCACATTGGAAATACATGGGGAATTAAAATCCCCCAGGTGGCTTGTTATCCAAAATGTGGAAGATAGCTGTTCCACAGGTCTGCATATCCACAATTTCTCAAGCTTCTTGCTTTGTCAAGAGATATTTAGCCTTCATTAAGGAAGACAGACCTAAATGCTGCCCCGTGTGACTATAACCTTATGGGTTTGCTATGCATTATCTCTAAAAAAATGGAATTTTGGACAAATAAGCTCTGAAATTGGGAGAAATCAAGCTTCCTAATTAGGCATGGTCCAGGTATGCAGAACAGGGCTGTTTTCACTCTGCATCACTGCTCAGTATCAGCTAGTTAGGGACTGGGCTAGAACAACCCTGTGCACTCCATGCACACCCTAATCCCCTTCCAAACCCAACAGAGGCATGGCAGACCATAAGGGAAAAAGGAAGGGAATTTCCCTATATCCCTCTACCCAGCCCCATCAAGAGCTGAAATCCCTATGAAAAACATCAACTCTATGCAACCAGAAAATACTTGGACTGGAGAAATTGCTGTAATCCTTAAATTGGTTACAGTCCACGCTATTGTATGGTTCTGAGACACAATAAATGTAGGGTTTTTTAACACTTGTGCAGTCTTCCCTGCTTAATTCACACACCTGCTATCCATTTTTCCTATATTGCTGCATTTGACATAATTTCACTTTTTCAGACATAAATGATCCTTACACCTGATGTTTAATTCTTTACTCGACCAAATCCCCCACTGACTGTAAAATCAGGTCTAACCATATGAAACATTGTATTTCTAGGTTTCTTTGAAATAGCTCATGTGATAAGAGTTTTAATTCTTCTCCTGACAGTGATGCATGATGTGATGATCTCAGTGGTCTCACTGCCACCATAGATTGCAACAGTAAAAGCCAAATCCAGGCCAAAAGACAGAGAGATTTTGAGCAGGCTTTTGTCCTTCAGCTTTCCAGTTTTCTTCTCTCATCTACTTTTCAAGAATTCCTAAAATATAGTTTTGCATGGAAAAGGAGAATTGGCTTTTTCCACTTTTCCATATGGGTGATTAAAATGGAACATAGAATTCCAGTGAACAACGTATTTTGATTTCCAGTGCCAATATTTCTTTTTCTAACTTTGCATGTTATGTGTGTTTTCCTGTCAACAGAAATACCTGTTATGATTGTGTTTAAGAGAAATTTTAGCCTTGGTTTAGGTTTTGCATCCTCAGCAAGGGCCTCTAGTATCAGCTCTTTCTATTTCTCCTGTTTTCTTAAACCCTAGTTCTGAGCTACTGATGTACTGGCAACTCTCTTCATCTTTCACATACTATAAATTGTTTGGTTTACTGATTTTGTGGATATTAACTACTATGACATTTAAATCAGTGCCTTATTCATAACCTTTCAAAAACATGGTATAGAGCAAACAGATGAAGTTATCTGTAATACAGTCTAGCCCAGAGTTCTAAAAATATTTTTGTAACATGTATACTTTACAGTATTCTTTTTCCATAGTTTCAGTTGGATGGTTTTAAGTGAAGCAATATATCACATTTAAAACTGATTTAAAGACATGTTCACTATTGTGGAGTTTACTTATTTGTTTGGTTTGGGTTTTTTTTCTTTCTGTTTTACCTCTCCTGCTGTTTCAGTTTCTTGTGCTTCTATTTTCCCCAGAAACTTTCATCCTCCACACTCCTGTTACTCTCCCTCTCCAGTTTTCTCTAATGTTCCCTTAACACTCATTTATGATTTAGTTTCTTTGTTGGTTTTTTTAATTATTATTATTCATCCAGAATGAATTATTTTAAGACTTTCAGGAATGTTACTTTGAGCTTGGTGGCAACACGACAAGAAATTACACATCTCTGTAGTACACACCTACACCTGTATGATCAAAAATTTAACTTAAAGGTGTAGCAGAATCTCAGTGGAATTCATCAGGTATGCAGCTCAACTTAGACAGGCATTGGCCAAATGGCACAAAAGGAGCTGGGTAGGATGGAATTACAGGAGCTGCAGGAGGACAAGGCATTTGGCATGTCACAGTTCCCTTGGGAGACACCGGCAATCCAGGGAACAACAGGATTGTCCTTCACTGCCACTGCTGTGACCGCAAGGAGAAGATGGACCAGGAGAAAGCAGCAGAGTGGAGCCCAGCAGAAGAGCAAGCCTTGCAGCACTGCAAACAGGGAACCTCTGAGAAAGATATTATAATTTAAAAAATGTGCTATAATTGGAATGATGAAAAATTTGGGTTTCCAAGGTTACGTTTCTTAATGTGGCGCCTCTTGTGTCACCTGAGCATTAAGTCTAGACCAAAAAATGCTGCAATTCCAGGTGTTGGAACTGTTAACACTCAGGTTCTCTGTCCAGTTTAAAAGACAAATGTGCCCTAAAACATGACCTCAGCTGACA